TGGGATTACAGGCATGAACCAACATGCCTGGCTTATTTTGAGTTAGGTTTTTGAATATGTTATTAGGTAGTAGCCCAACTTTATTCTTCTACATGTGGATATTCAGTTGTACCAGCGCCAGTTGTTGAAAAGACAATTCTTGCTTCATTGAATTGTCTTGCCAACATTGTAAAAAAAATCAGTTGACTGTAAATGTAAGATTTTCTTTTTCTATTCCTGTTCTATTGAGAAATAATTCACATTACTATTCATATAATACTATATGATTCACTTTTTTAAAGTGTGTAATTCAGTGGTTTTTAGTGTATTTACAAAATGGACAATTGGCACCACTATCTGATTCTAAAATATTGTTATCACTCCCGAAAAGAAACTCTGTATGCATTAGAAGTCATTCACTCCAGCCCCTGACAACCACTGATCTACTTCTTGCCTTTATGGATTTACTGGTTGCAACTTGTTCTATTCTGTTCTATATGTGTGTTCTTCTTCCAATATTATTACACTGTCTTGATTATTATAGTTGTATAGTAAGTTTTGGAATCAGGAAGTATAAGTCTTCCAACTTCTTCTTTTTTAAGATTGTTTTAGTAATTCAAAGTCCTTTGTATTACCCTATGAATTTTAAGATAAGTTTGTCAGTTTCTACAAAAAAAAAAATTGAGATTTTGATAAGGATTGCATTAAATCTATAGATCAACTTGGGAAGTGTTGTCATTTTAATGATATTAAGTCTTCTTAGATTTTTTTTTTTTTTTTTGGAGATGGAGTCTCACTCTTTTACCCAAGCTGGAGTTCAGTGGCTCAGTCTCTGCTCACTGCAACCTCCACCTCCCAAGTTCAAATGATTCTCCTGCCTCAGCCTCCGAAGTAGCTGGGATTACAAGCACCTGCCACCACACCCAGCTAAGTTTTGTATTTTTAGTAGAGATGGTGTTTTACCATATTGGCCAGGCTGGTCTCAAACTCCTGACCTCAGTGATCCACCCACCTTGGCCTCCCAAAGTGCTGGGTTTACAGGCATGAGCCACTGCGCCCAGCCTCTTTTTATGAATTAAAAATTAAGACATGGTTTGTGCCCTTAACTAGCTTGCAATTTAGTCATGACAAGAATCAACAAAGTGATATAGTAATAACAATGAAAAACACAACAAGAATTACGAATACTGCTTTTTTTTTTTTTTTTT